ATAATGTTTTCCCAAGGTATTGGAGAGTTGGCACTCCCAACTAGTCCTTGTTGGAGCACTTGTGCAAGGGTAGAGCTCCTCCATGTTCCGCGCAAGGATCAAGTACTCTCTATGGGTTAATCCTTCTTCACTCTGGAACAGTGGATCACCACGACTATGTACACTGACTTGGGCCTCTCACAAGATTCTCTGAGAGATCACCAAGCACACCATAACACTACCAAGTTGTCAAGGTGATGCTGATCACTAAGAATAATAAACACAAACTCTCGCTTGACCCAACTAAGTGAAAGGATTTGTGGATAACTCGAGGGGGGTAAATAGCCTATTAAAATTATTTTCAAGAACAAAAACACTAGGCCAAAGTGATTAGTACATTAGAGAGGATCTTAATCGCCACTACAAGCCTAGCCTAATCACTTAAATGCAAGCATTTCCTACAATTCTAGTAGCGAGGATTACTTTTACAACTAAGGCACACAAGCTACTAAAGACTAGCATCTACAACTATTTCTTTAAGTGACAAATAGGATTGCATGGTAGAGTGCTTATCATAGGTTTAATTCTTGCTCATAAGGATCTATTTCTTAGTGTGATCCTTTGCTAAGGACTTGATTAGGGTGATCTCCCTAATGACTTCTTAGATCACTTTTGTAGAAGAACTTAGGTGTCAATATGTTGAAGGGGTTTAGAACTTGCATATGCTAAAGTTGTTGCTTTAAATTTTTAGAGCCCAGTTTACCTAACTCTTGTGCCATTTGGTACTTAAATGATGTAGTGGGAAGCGATTGGCTGGCCGCATGGTTGATGGAGAGAGGGGTGTTTGACTGCTTGTCCAGCTATGGCGGAGTAGGTGGTGACTGGTGATGTGGTGGTGTGGAGGTGTGGAGGGAGTTGCCATGAGAGACCTTCTCGGCACTAGTGGTGTTGGTGAGATGTAGACGATAACTGAAGGAGATGTTTGGATGGAAGAGAAAGGTCCTATGGAGAGCATGTTGGTGAGGGGAAGGGAAGAGGTACGGTATGGCTGGATGACTAGACACCGATGACCATGGAAAAATCTTAGACAGTCGCTCCCGTGTCACCTATGGTTCCAAGCGACCGACCATTCTTCTTTTCTGCGCTGTCCAAAATTCACAGTTAAGACTTTAAGCAACAATTCATTAATGCAGGTTTTTGTTTTTTCATTTACTCCCCCCATTCCAAATTATAAGATATTTTGATTTTTCTATATACGTAGTTTTTTCTATTCACTTAGATACACCATGTCTAGATATATAGTAAAATCAATATATCTAGAAAAGCCAAAACGCCAAAACATCTTATAAATTAAAACGAATGGAGTAAGATATATCGTGTATAGTTGGCAGAGCCACCCTAGGGGCGGGGTGGGGTGGCCGCCCCAGCTACCGGCGAGCTCGCAACACTATAACCTCGGAAACCCGTTCTTCCCTAACACCGGCAGCGAGAAGCGCTGGAGCGGTAAGCCAGCGAGCCACGAGCACGAGCAGGCAAGGCCACGCTGCGAAGCTGGAACCTGGTGGAAGAATGGGCCTTTTCTTTTGCTTTTTTCAGCCCAACAGAGGTGAGAGGCCCATATTGAAAACCCACTGTCGCATACTCCTCTGTTCCCTAGCCCAACCGGTGGATCCCCAAATTTCCAATCGTCGATTTCCTAGGAGGGAATTCCTTGTGAGCCATTAAAAAACATCACAATTCTCTACGAGCTACTGAAAAGGTTCGGTGGACTTCAGCGCCACTGCTCCAAAAAATTTTTGCCCTCCTTGCCACTGCCGTCAGATTAGGCTCTAACGGTGTCAAACTGCAGATGTAGAAAGTCGAAAATACACTTAGCTCTAAATATGCCATTAATTTTTTGAGTATCTTAACGACTTTAAATGGAAAAACTCAAAACTACAAAGTTGTAAATCTCGTCGAGATCTACAATTTTCATATAAAAATTATCTTCATTTAATACTGCAAAAAAGATATGATTTTTCTAAAATATATTAATCATACCTGCAGGTTGACACCGTTAGAGCTTAATTTGACGGCAGTGGCATGGAGGCCAAAAAAAATTAAAGCAGTGAGTGCTGAAGTCCACCAAACTTTTTGAGTGACTCGTAAAGAATTGCAATCTTTTATAACAGGTCACAAGGAATTCCCTCGTTTCCTAGTCAAGGAGACGTCCTCGCCGCCCCCTCTCTCTCTCCCAGCGCCAAGCCAGCCCGCAGGCCTGTTCATGGCCTGCCGCTGCGCCGTTACTGTCGTTGCCGCGGCCGTGGCGTGTGGCCGCCTCGCAAGCTCATTTCCTCCTCCGTCGAGTTCGCAACTATGAGTCCGTGAAACCGCTCCTTTGCATCAACCCACGCCAGCCAACACCTTCGCGCCCTGCCCATCCGCCCCGCATCGGCATCAGCATCCCACCGCTGCACGTGCATGCGCACGCCTCACCGGCCAGCGAGCAGCAAGCAAGCGTGTTGAAAATGATATTGGCCCCATTCGGCTTACCTTATAATCCGCACTATTCAGCTTGTTTTTTTAGCCGGAACAATGTTTTTCTCTTACAACAATTCAGCCATTAATAAGTTTTTCGTAATTCATTATAAGTTTTTTCATGGTAGTTTAGCGGGGCCATTATTGTCTTTCATTCGAAATGGTTTAAGGATAGTGATTGTGTTTCTCATCTATTTTTCGCCATAACATGTGTGAATTGTGATTGCAGAGTTTTTGCCATAATTTATGTGATTCTAGTATATGAATGCGGTGCCTTTTGGTTCATTTTCTGGTTGCAAATTGGCCCAGCTATATATATATATATATATATATATATATATATATATATATATATATATATATATTTTGGCTCCGTCGCTGATTGCGTACATTCGATCAATCGGGTTAAAGATATAGACACCCAGAACAGTTTACCATGGAATGTGTGCAGTATTCAATTATTCATCGTTGTATACTTGTACCTTGTTCCAGCAATACTTCTCACATGGTCACACTGTGGAGCATGGTGCTTTCCGAAAAACGACAGTTCTTTTTTTATTCTGCTCAATGTATACTCAGTTTTCTCTTCGTTGACCCTATATGAACATGCTGTTCGGAGGGACCATTCCTGCTGCTTTGCTCGCAGGTATCGAATTAGTCCGTCCGTAGATGCATGGATGTAAAAACAGTATTTACCGGCAATGTTTGTTGTTTTCATGAATTGAGTATCTGAATAAGAGTGATTTGACTTCAGAAATGTTTGGTTGTTTCAGTTTTGTGCAATTTCATCAGGGACAAAAAAAAGATTGTCCACAGTAGGTCGCGTTTCTACGCTTCGTTTCTGCAGATAATGCTCTTTGGCGGCAGCCAAATTGCAAAATTTACACAAAAACAATTTATTTTTAATTTTTCTCGTTAGGGAAGCAATTCCGGCTAGTCATAGTTGTAGCACTAGAGGCTAACGAATCCACTCTTGGGGACCGCCTCAATCAAAGCTTATTGGGTTAATTGGATTCATACCATTATAAATTTCGATGTTTGGAGAAACGCTATTGCTATTCGTCTATTTTGAAGCATGCTATTACAATTATTCATTTACCACAAAAATACCACTGAATACGTATGGACACAGTCTAGGCCCGATTCTGAAATACATGTATCTGAGAAGACGTATACTTCATCACCCACACCCACCACTTCCTTTGTGCTGGCCCCACATGTCATCTTCTTCTCCCTCCTCTCCTCCTCTCTCTCCATCCCGACGCGGCCACGGCCACGGCGAGCAACAACCCATCTCCTCCTCCTCCTGTGGCCTGACACTGCATCTTGTTCATTGAGACAGCTTGCAGACTAAATTGATGCTTCTTCTTTGTTTTTAAGAAATTGAGCTTGAGGACCAGCTTGTTTTTTTAAGAAGAAAGGTAGGACCTCTTTAGCCTTGCAGTTCATTCGTTTGAGTTCAGATGGGGTCCATGACTTGTCATTGTTTCTGCCTTTAGTTTTCTCAAGCTCTACATTAGTGCTGCTCCTCACTGGTTCAAAACATGCTGCATTAGACATCCCATATATATAAACTTAAATGGTTTCTTCCCCGACTATAATCTCCCTTCCTTCTTATATGCCCCCCGCTCTACCCTCGCCTCATCTTGCAGATCGCATTCGATGGCGCTATCCCCATCCGCACACCTCGGCACAAGGTTAAAGTTAAGTAGACTCCTCGCATGTCGCCATTGGGCTCTTTAGAGATGCCTCCGAGCTCACGATCGGCTCCTCTTCGCCTCCCTCTCTCGCCCTATATATCAACCCGGGCCTTGGCACACTCTGCGAGCACACGCCTCCACCGCTCCCACCACTACCCAAGAAGCCCCTTCCCCACTCTCCAACACCCATTTCCATGGTGGCCGATCACTTCACCATTTCTAGCCATTGCCGAGAGTCTCAGCTATGAGGTTTGAGCTCATTGTTCTCCTTTAACCACCGTTCACCGCCTCAACCTCATTTCCTCCTCCGTCGAGTTCGCAGAGGCACACCACTCTGAGTCCGTGAAACCGCCTCCTTTGCATCAACCCACGCCAAGAAACACCTTCGTTGCGAAGCTCACGGAGTTGCTATAATTAAAGAGACTTCTTTTTAGTCTTTAAATTAGTCTTTGAATAGGTTGTAATAAGCCTCGCTTCTTGCCTCGGCTCCCTCCTCTCCTCAAGCTCAAGATTCGACGATAAAGAAGCCCACCATCGGCGTCGTGGTGAGCTCCTTCTCCATTTGCATCTTTCCCAACAGAACTCTGGGGCTATACCTTCCAGCTCAACTCCGAGCCCATGCGCCATGCGAGCAAGCAAAGCCATGTGCAGAGTGTGCACGGAGAGAACAGAGAGAAGATGACCCCATGAATAGGTGAAGCAAGACACACAACTGGTGAAGCAAGCGGACAGTTAAAGAAAGACATAGCTCAACACGTCGGCACAAATGAAGATAGGCACGAGCTCTATGGGCTTGAAATTGCCATGTCCTTGAAGCTTCAATGGCCTCATAGTGAGGTGAGCTCATTCCTAAAATTCGGCAGCGTCTGATGCTTTGGGAGAGCTCCAGTTTCACTTTCTATAGTTGCAAAACTGTGCCAATCAATATATTCTTTCGCTTTCACTTTAGCGCTTGTTTCCGTCTTGTTGATCTATATTATCCTATGATTCACTTGCTTGGGTCACTAGTTCTCGACTAAGCAGCTAGGGTCACGATAACATATTGGTTCTCGTTATACTTGCTCGTTCAAGAAAGACCACTATCTATAGCCTTGTTATCGTTGTAGCCATTTGGTGAAGGTACGCCAGCACAGCCCACTGCCGTGGGCGCATCGGGATGGAGAGAGAGCCGAAGAGAGAGATGAGGAGAGAAAGAAGATGACATGTGGGGCCCACGTGTAAGTGATGAGGGAGGCGAAGAAATGATATCGTCTTCAGATATCGCGCATAGCCAAAGAAAAGGAGGTTGGGTAATGACCAAAAAGCTGTATCCATACATATTCAGTAGTATTTTTGTGGGAAAAAAAGAAAAATAGATGAATAGTAATGACGCTTCTTCCCGCATCGAAAATTATAATAACGTGAATGCAGTTAACCCAAGCTTATTCCAGGAAGGATTCAAGTCCGACGATGGCCTCGCCGCGGCGGGGGGCGGCGATTCCACGAGCGACCCCTAGCCTGCGGGACCTCCTACTCCTAGTCGCGCTGCCGCTCTTGCTCTCAGTCTGCGGCCCTCCCCACCCGCGGCGGAGACCTCCGGCGGGTGGTGGAGGTACCGGGCGAGCCGCGGTCGGTGGTGTGGGCGGTGCAGCTCTGGGACCTCCACCTCAGCGCTTTCCACCCGGAGCGTGCCGCCGACTTCCGCCGCCACGTGGGCGACGCGCTCGCCATGGTTTACCCCGCGCTCGTCCTCATCACCGGCGATCTCACCGGTAAGCTTCCTGCCTTCTTCGTCTGCGTGTGCTTGGTGGTTTGTTTTGCTTTAAGAGGACTGGGATCTGGTTCTAGTTCGATGTAAGAGGTTTAGCTTAGGCTCTAATACAACATTTGCTGGGCTATTTTTTTTTAGCCTAGACTCCTAGTGTACAAGTTGTAGTATCTGTACTCTACACAACACACACCACCACACATACGCACACCTCTAGAAGTTACAACCTATACACCTCAAACATCCTTCTAGAAATCACCGAAGCCACACGAGCCTCGTAGACGACGGGCACGTCGTAGTCCCATTGTAGCGCCATGCCAGTGTCCAGGACCTGCAAGATTATTTAATGGGAATAAATCCCCACGGTGGGAAATCACTGAGCCGAGCAGGGCTCGAACTTAGGACCTGTGGCTTCCACACCAGGAGAGCTCACCATCCGAGCTGCATACTAGTCTTTTACTGTTTTAACTTGTTTATTATGTTCCTCTGGAACTAGAAAGGTTGTGCATTGCATTGCTGCTAAATTCTGATACAGGGAGGTAGAGTTTTGGGTGGTGGATTGTATGGAAGAGTGGAATGGAAAGAAAGGATAATATGTGCATCTTCCCCTAGCATAGTGTCTACCTTTATTCTTATAAATAGGCTGCAATCTAATAACATTTCCATGCTTGCAGTATTAAAAAGCTATGCCATCTTTGACTAACAGAACGGCTCAATGGCAGCATTATTTGTACTAGAGGATTATTGAGTTCTTTAATATATTTAAAGTAGTTGAGCTATATGCTGTAATTTTGCTTTTCAAAGCATTTAAGGCCAAGTCTGAACGAGTATTCAACAGCTATTGCTTATCATTTTAGTGTGAAAGAACGGGTCCCTGCTAAACATATACATTTGCTTCATCAACTGCTTTAAGAAAGTTTAGAATTATTCTTGAACTAATGCATGAGTTAATAACTTTTGTTGTTTGATAGAAGCTTAGCCAACAAATATAACATTCTTATGCATGCTCTAGTGTTGAAATGGTTATGTAACCCAGGATGATTGGTTACAACTTGCTTTGACCAACACTCCAATTGTACGAGTTTCTTTTTATCTTAAAAAATCCATCACACAAGTTGTCACGCCCCGTGGCCGCCGACGATCACCGGGACGTGAGGAGATCAAACACGGTAGCGTATAGGTGATAATGAGACGAGGAAAGCTTCCTCTGTCTTCGAGTTCTGTTTTTCAGATTGGGAATAGTCTCCCCTGCCTCACAGGGTTCGCTTATTACAGACACCGGTGACCACACGGTCCCGCTTGACAGAGTCACTGGCCGACCGGCCCACAAGTCATACAGCGCAATACATTACTTCGAATACTCTACGCTATCATCCCTGGGTTACGTATTACGACGATGGCGCCATATTCAGGTCGTCGGTGCCGTAGTCCTGACACAAGATAATGGCAAATTATCAGTGGCACGATGCCAAGCATCATTTCTGACAAAGGTTCATATAATTTTAAAAGATTCTATTGCACCTCATTTTAGTGGAATCTGTAGTAATGTTCATTCCCCGCATGATTGATATAGGTATTGTTGCACGAAAATTACCCTTTTCCTCTTTTAAGATCAATTGCCATAGTATTTGATATTCACTAATTTGTGCAGTCAATTTTTTAAAAGTTGCCTCAAAATTCAAATATCATGCTTGTTTTTTCTTTTTATCTGTTTATGTTATCTGATAAAAACTTTGCATTTTGGACGCTCAATTGGAAAGTGAAACAAGAAGAATACTCTGTATCATATACGTTTAGGAAGTAACGGAATATAGGTTTTATTTTCAGTTCTAACAGAGTTACAGAAGCTTAATGAGTTGTTTTATCTTGTATTGTTATGCTCAGATGCAAAAAGTAAAGATTTGTTGTCGTCAAGGCAAGAGGAGTTTGAATGGATTCTGTATGGACAAGTTATTGATGATGTTGCTAATAGGAGTGGGCTGAGCAAGGAAATATTTTATGATTTACGAGGTAATCATGATTCATATGGTGTTCCTGAGGTTGGTGGTATGTTTGATTTATACAAAAAGCACAGCATTAATGCAAGATTAGGACGAACAGGGGCTGTCCAAAGTATAACATTACAGGTTGGTTCCAGTAAGCACAAATCTATTTAATCTTGCCAAGAAACGATACACTTTTTTAACCTGCTATAACCTGCTATTATGGCTTAGTATAAGTTCAGTATGGGATTGTTTTAAGCTTACAGTCTTATCCAAGCTTTAAATTGTGCAGAATAGCGGCATGAAGTATTTATTTGTTGGATTTGACAGTGCATTGGGTGTTGGTCTCCGAAGCCCAACAAACATATTTGGCCAACCTACAGATCTGTTGCTTTCTGATTTAGATGCAGCACTTTCACAGTGGGATAATCAATCTACAAGTTCCCTAGTAACCAAGATCGTCTTTGGGCATTTCCCTATATCCTTTTCTGCATTGACAACTTCTGGAAGAAGTATTAGAGATGTTTTTCTGAAGCATTCACTCTCCGCTTACCTGTGTGGGCATCTTCATACCAACTTTGGAAGAAACTTGAAGCGACACCATACATCTGACCAGCAAGGATTTTCTTCTAAACAGTACTTTCAGTTGGATATCCATGAGGGTATGTCAACAACTGTCAGTAATGTCAATTGTTCTGCAAGGACAACAGAGTCTGTAGCTGAATTCTGGGAATGGGAGATGGGTGATTGGAGAAGTGCCAGGAGCATGAGGATTCTTGCTATTGATTCTGGCTATGTCTCATATACAGATATGGATTTCAGATTTGGCTCTAGAGATGTGATTATAGTACCCACCTTTCCGTTGGATTCACGGTTTATGCATAGATCTTCGTATCCTTATGATTTTGCTTACCAAGCCATGAGCACCACACATGTTGGGACAGTGAGAGCTCTTGTCTTTTCAAGATACAAGATTAAATCTGTAACTGTTAAAATATACGAATCACATTCTGGAAGTTTTCAACTGGTCCTAGAGCAAGAAATGGAAAAAACTAGGGGCAAGGGAGCTAGAGGAGCTATGTATACAGTCCCATGGAACTGGAGGGATTTTTTAGATGAGCTACCGGATCGATACTGGCTCCAGATAGAAGTAGTGGATATGACTGGGGAGATTTACCATAGTGAACCGAGGCCATTTTCTGTTAGTGGTCTAACTGCAAAAGTTAGTTGGACGTGGAAAGAATTTAGAGTAATGGGTTGCCAATGGAATCAGCTGTACTACCCAATTATGTGGACTACCCTTGCATTTCTTTTTTCATTGGTTCTGGTTCCTCGCACTTCTCTCACGTTTTATGAGAACCGATTCATGTCAAAATTTATTAGACCAAAGATGACCGGAAAAAGTTTAGGAGGCTTTTCGCCTGTTAATTTTGAGTATTTTGCAGTTTAGCTTTCGAAGATGTATTTTATCTGGTCTGTAATGTTGTTCTATTTGCTATTTGGTTTTCTTCCCATGGTTTACTGGCTATGCTGTCACGGAGAACTACAATAAGATGTATTTGCATTACAGAGGCTGGAGCATTAGATATCTTGCCAACACCACTGCGTTGCCATATATTGGTTTGCCTGATGTGATGGTTATTGTTGTTCCTCATCTTCTGTTTGTGGTCTTGCCAGCATTTCTTCTTATAGCAGCTATAGCAGCAGAAAGAGCACTGTATCTAGGTCATCATGTCTCCCAGAGAACAAAGGATGATGATCACTACAAAAAGGCATGGCACGTGAAGAATGTTTACATATTTTATTGGTTGAGAAAGATTCTAATACTTCTATGCCTACCAATTGTCTAGAAACATTGGAAGGTATGCTTTCCTTTCAACTTTTACTCATGCACTTGGCAATATTAGATTGGCACCTGTTGAAATGAAACCATATAAACACCTCCCTTTGAATGAGTTTAATCCTTTGTTCCCAAATTTATGAACTCTCTTATGATGATTATAAAATTTCAAGTGTGGTATTTTCTTCCCTCAAATTTCAAGGGTAGTTTACAAACCCTTCTGAATCATTTTGATTTTGAACCTGTGTATGTCTTTTCCATTATGAATATAATGTCCTAATGGCTTAGTTGAAGTTGTAACATGGCATTAGAAGTCCCACTTGGATTTTTCTTCCTTAAGAGACTAAAGTAATCTTTCTCATTAATAAAACTCAGTGGTTATGGAATTTAGCTTCACATGTGAGGTGAATAGGGCCTATATTCATGTGCTGCCATTTTGTTTCTTAAGTATGGCAGAATTAAGGACTGCCTTTTTTGGAGGCTATATTTCGTACATAATAGCTCTTCTGCTCATAGAAAGATTTCCCACTCGAAGGTTGGCTGTTACCTTTTGTTTTTCACTAGTATGGAGTTTTTGTCATCAGCTACTATCCTTAAATCCATGAGTGTGTGACCTTGGGCAGCAGCGAATTTATACGAGCCCATTGAGAAAATTTTAATTTGAAGGAGGTGCCTTCTCATTAGAGTTGCATACAGTGAAGAGTGAAAAAATGTGGAATCAAATAGCAGCAGGTAATATTCAATTGATCAGCTGTAGATAGTAAAACTGGGATTTATTCAGTTCCTAATGATGTTTTGTTTTTTCCTTGCCTGATTGTGTTACATTGTGACCACTTGAACCATACTTTTGTGCATGCAAATGTGTGAGCTTTCGCGCTAACAATCACTTTTCTGCAGCATTGTAGAGCTATTGTGAGGGCATATGAGGTCAACCCACTCATGGATGCACCCATCTACTGTTTTGGTGTTCCAGCACTTCTATGGTTGACCATATACACGAGTTCATCTGTAGGAGTTTACCAAGTTTGAGTTACTTGTACTGTGGAAGATGTCTCGTGTTTCGAGTAACCACCAACGAGTAAATTTCTAATATTGCGTGTCTGGCTCGGATGATGTGCTTAGAGAACACGAGGTTTATAGTGGTTCGGGCAGAATGTCCCTACGTCTAGTTTGTCACTGCTGCTCGTGTTACTAGCACTGAAAGTTTATAGTAGGGGTTACAAACAGGCGAGAGAGGGACATGTCCCAAGTCTCTGGTGGAAAGAAAGAACGGGTGCCGAGAGCTCGATCGCTGCTCGGCTGTGTGCTTGTGTGGTTTGATTGGTTGATGATCAGATTGTCCGATCGTTGGTCCGATGCCTCTCATGGGACGTCCTGTTTTTCCTTTTATAGGCCAAGAGAAAGCATGGGTTACAACGGGGGAAGAGAGAGAAAGGGAGAGAAAGAGAGCAAGTCCTTCAGGATCGCCGGGTCGTTCTTCTCCTTCATGCGGGTCCCGTCGACCCTGTAGATGTCGACACAGATAGCTCCACATCGCGGTCTTGTCCGTCACTGGCGCCATGTGCAGGCGTCGTCTGCTGGTCATGGTGTTCCATTCCGTCGTAGCGGACGTCGTGGTAAGCTGACGCGCCTGTCAGCGTTCGTACGGAGGTTAGGCAGAATTGCGCCATTGCGTCCGACGCTGTTCCTGATGTGAATCTCTAGGTATGGTCCGTCATGACCACGGGTTACATCGGAGCATGCCGGTCTCTTCCTTGGCGTCAGAGTATTGATCCAGACCCATACGCTTGACCTGGAGTGGTTAGCGGTGGTATGGGACCCCATCGGGCGAGATGGAGCCCTCACCCGAGGGGGCAGGCGAGGCGGAGCCTGCGACCTCGGGGTCGGGCGAGGCGGAGCCCTCTCCCAGAGGTCGGGGGAGGTGCAAACCCAAGAGGCGGGGGAGGCGGAGCCCGGGGCCTTGGGGTCGGGCGAGACGGAGCGCAAACCCAAGGGTCAAGCGAGGCGGAGCCCGCGGCCTTAGGGTCCAGGCGAGGTGGAGCGCAAACCCAAGGGTCAGGCGAAGCGGAGGTCGGGGCCTTGGGGTCGGGCGAGGCGGAGCCCGCTCCCAGAGGTCGGACGAGGCGGAGCCCGCGCACCTGGGGGTCGGTTGGAGCTGTAGTCACGCTCTTGACTGCTGGGATGAATCAACGTTGATGATCATTAGCTCCTCCTCTTCGGGTAACATAGTATTGATCTCCAACAGAAGACTTAAAAGATCGAGACTGAACATTTGCATAAACAATTTCTGGCGGTGCTGTTATGCAAGGTTTCAAGGTGGCATTCTGAAGTTGGAAAAGAACATGTCTTCAGATGTAGAAATTAGAATCTCTTCTCTTTTTGATGCAGGAGATATTTTGGTAGTACTCAATTCGTTTGAAAAGGAACCATCCTGTACAATTCGATATGATGCACTCCCTCTCTTAAGTCTTTGAAATGTAAGTCGTTTCAGGCTTTCAGCTATCCTCACCTATTCCGAATGAAAGTCATTCTATGATTTGGAGGCATTTATCAATCATTCTTTCATCCTTGCCCTTATCAAAAGAACTAGTAAATAGACTCCTTTTAATTGCTTCTTCATTCCCTTGACTCTCATTGCTTAATTCCACTCAAGAGTTAATAACCGAAGAGTAAACATGGTCAACTTACACACACTCTCTGTTCTTGTACCAAAGTATAAAATGGGCTAAGTTTTTTTTTATCAAGGAGGTATTGATTTTGCATATGGATATTTCTTTGGTGTAGCTTTTGCACACAGAATTGAAAATAGGTATAGGAATGACATTGGGTGCCATGGTTAGCAGGCTCATGTGGGCATTGATAACATTGGAATCAATCGTGGAGGTGTCTGGGAAACAATATGTCTGGAGGGAACTAATATCTTGGAGTTGGGAGAAGATAACATAGAATCAAGACATTTCTATGATACTGTAATATCACTAATTTAACCTATGCTCTGATTAGTTGGTGTCACAATGGAACATCCTAAAATTTATGATGGTGAAAATAAATTCGATTTAGTATGTTCTGGGGATCCTATTTTCCTAGATGAAACTCAAATCCTAGGATTTTCAAAGGGACCAAACAACTTGGATTGCACCATCTCAAAGAAACTGCATCCCCGAGTTGTGTCGCTCCAAACAGCAACATACAAGTAGACCTTTCCATAGATCATGAAAATAGTGAAATTAGGCAGTTTTTTTGTTTGGAGAGGCATGCCCATAACAATTTGAGCTCTTCTAGTCTGCATGGTGCAAACAGCCTTAAGTGCCTTGCTCATAACTGTCCCTAAGTGGGTTACATAAACCACAGTGAGAGCTCTTGGACTCATTTATGAAGATCATTGCATCACCCTACAATAATTCCCCTTTGTCTTTCTATTTCAATAATCATATCACACAGGCCCCAATTTTCACAGCGGTTTCATGCATGGAGGAAATATGCCAATCAGCTCTGGGAAGCATTGATGACATCCTTGCACTGCATGCACCCTATGAATGAGAAGACACATCAGGTCATCAGGGGGGGTCTGAAGATCAGTTATTGGAATTCTCTGTGCCAGCATATATTGTTGAATTGCAACAGCCTAGTATTCAAATTTTGAAAAAGAATCTGATTGGGAATACCTGATTCATCAGATCAATGGCTACCACCTAGGGTTCTATGCACCATAGGAACAGGAAGCTTCAAGAACTAAAATGTCACCTTCCGCAATGCACGTATATGAGATTTCATTTTGAGCTGGTATGTGCTTCGCCTTATTCCGATATTTCTGAAAAAGACAGAAAACAAATGCATTCTAATCGTGTGAAAAGAACTTTTGATTTTGACTTTTCTTTTTCTGGTTCATAAAAGTAAGGCTATGGCATATGGGTTAAATGATTATAATCTAAATAGGAATTCCTAGTGTTGCTACATATCCTTTGCAGGGATTTCGACCAGTATCAAAATTAAAAATAAATTATAAAATTGAGATGTTTTGGGTAAGGTGGTTGTTGTGGAAATTTTCAGAATTGTTGTGATTTAGATCCACTAGATTCAAATAAGCCTGAATCAGGGGCCACTCCATATGCTTATGTTATTCTAAAGCATGAAACATCTAGGAGACATATGCTGTTTTTAGGAATGAAACATCTACGTTCTTTGGTAATGAAGTGAAGAGAAACAATTTGCAGAAAGCTGAACAAAATAATGATATGTCCATATAGAACATATGGAATATGAAAATTGAAGCATCTGTATCCTTAGCTTATGACAGTCATTTAAGTTTCAAATGATACCTGACACAAAGGCATTTGCAGCAGGTCACAGTACTGTATTTTCAGCTTTGGTTCTGAAGTGAACTTGGGCAACAGCTTCAGTTTGCTGCATCTGACGATGCTGAAATATTTAAGATTGGGGAAGTGCTCACTCTTGACACCGAGCCATGCCTCCCAAGCTTCCATGTTCCTGAACTTTAGTGACTCCAGTGAAGGAAACACATTGCAGATTCTGCTCTTACTGTTAGAAGTGGTATCTCCAACATTGCCAAAGAACTCTGGACCAATTAGCTTCACGCTTGGCAGTGATTGTATCAAAATGTGTTTCAGTGATGGTAGGCAGCCAAGGGGCGGTACTTCTTTGCAATTATGACAGTCTTTCAGTTCAATAGAAGCTAACCTGTCCAAGGGCAGCCATCCTAACCATGACGAAGAAAAGGATCCGTTATAACCCTTGATGCTGAGCTCCTCCAGATTTGAATGTGGCTTGAGGCACTTTAAAACCTGATCTCCTGTAGCACTGATTCCTTGGTGCTGACTGTCTGACATGCAGCTCACTGCATTTCCTTGCGGATCACAAAGGGACTGGTTAAAATTTGTAAGTTCAGACCATTCAAGTGTAAGCTTTTGAATCCCCAACTTGTTCCAAAGGTTGGCGGTGGAAGCTTGTGCAACATCCAGGTTGTTTAGACCTGTGATGTGAAGATGTCCTTCAAGGTTTACCAATTCGTTCAGGTCTGCTATGCTACATCCAGCAGGCTCATTCCCAATGGCAAAAAAAGGTAGTCTCTGCAGCCTAGTCAACTCTCCAATCCCAGAAGGCATCTTTATGTCTGAATGTGGAATCTCTAGGCACCTTAAATTCAATAGGAGCTTGATGCCTTGAGGCAACTGAGTAAGGGAAGAACAATGGTTAAGCTTAATTGTCTGCAAGTGGAAAAGCGCACAAATTGACTCAGGCAACTTCTGGATTGCGGTGTTGTCCAGACCAAGGAACCTTAGGTGTATCAGACTTGCAATGGATTTTGGTAGCTCCATGATATTGGAGTTGCTCAAATCTAAAGCCCTTAAGCATTCAAAATCTGTGATCAGCTCGGAAGGAATCTTTGTTCTGAAGGCCATCTCCTCGTGGTTTTGTTCTGTTCTTGCAATGAACAGTAAGGTTCGCAGATCACGATGACCACAAAATGAGTTCAAGTTTATTTCTTCGACAGAATGAGGCTCCTTGTCGACAAAGGACAAATGCCGATGGCTTTCATCTATTTTCATTGAATTAGGGAGTTGTATCATCCTACATTCATTGCCTGAAACAAACTGAGCAAGCTCCTGATACAGGTCATGCATAACAAACTTCCCTTCGCTGATAGCATGAGATGGGGAAGGCTGGAAGAAGCACCTTGACACCAAGTCATTGAAGTAGCCATAGGCGATAGCTTCACGGCTGCAGTCTCCTTCAGCATCCACAAAACCCTGCGCAGTCCACAGCTGGACTAGCAGATCTTTGTCGAAGACGAAGCCCTTTGGAAACAATGAACAAAACGCAAAGCTACGCTTCAGCGGCATGGACAGGTGGTCGTAGCTCACCTTCAGCACCGGCAGTACCAGATTCTTCACCTCATTGTCAGCCCACAAGTCGTTATTCAGGACTTCATCCCAGTGCTTCCAGCTGGTTGAAGCACCCAGGGCACTACCAGCTGCCTCTGCCGCCAATGGCAAGCCCTGACATTTCTTCGCGATCTTCTCACCGATTGCTACAAGTTCTTGGTCGACGTTGGCATCGCTATTCGTCAGTGCCCGTCGCTGGCATACACGCCAGCAGTCTTCATCTGACAAGCATTTGAGATGATACACCTTGGTGCTCACCATCCTGGCAACCTTGTTGCTCCTCGTCGTCACGACAACCGCGCTCCCCGGAGCGCAGCGGCTCAGCGGGGCCGTCAGGCTGTTCCAGTGGCTGGGATTGTCATCCCACACGTCGTCGAGAACGATCAAGCACCTCTTGCCGGCAAGGTGCTCGACTATGAGCTCATGAAGCGTGCTCAGCTCGCCGCACACCGGGCGCGATCTGGTGACCGCCTCGACGATCTTGCGGGTCACGCTGACGACGTCAAACCCCTGGGATACCCAAATCCAGTGTGTCAGTTCGAAGCACGACTTCACGGCCTCCATGCCGCAGACGTGCTGCATCAGAGCCGTCTTGCCGACGCCGGCCATCCCGACGATGGGCACGACAGCGTAGGTCCTCCCGCCGTCCGGCTCCCCGCGTACCAGCGCGGCGACCCTCTCGATGTCGCGCTGCCGCCCGTGGAGGCGCTCGGTACGGGGAAGCGCGCTGCTTGGCACGAGCGGGCTCGCCGCGGGCCGGGGCGCGCCGTCGCCGGGCCGCAGCCGGAGCTTCTTCCTGTCCGACGCGATCTCCTCGTACCTCGCCCAGATGCCGTCAATCTTGCGGCGGAGCCGCCTCGCGGGCGCGGGCGCGAACAGCAGCGCCACCTCCCGGCGCCGCTTCCCCGTGGTGGCGGCGTAGAGCAAGTCTTGCTTGAGCTCCTCCAGCTGCGCCGAGCGGCGGGACTCGTACTCCAGCTCCTCGACCACGTCTTCGGCGCGGTGCTCCAGGTCGCCGAGCTCGGCCAGCCACAGCTGGACGGAGCGATCGGTGATGGATAGGCTCTCGGCGTCGCGGAGCGTGGCGCGGATCCGCCGCAGTTTGGACTTGAGCGCCGTCAGCTCATCGTCGCCGACGGTGGCCGGCTGGGACGCGCGCCCGAATGGCTCCAGCAGCGGCGACGCTAGCTTCTTGGATTTGATAGCAAAGTGAAGCAGCGCATCTCGCAGCGCGTGCGTGACAGGTTTGTTTGCTTTGTCAGCCATTGCTGGACCTGCAGATGCTGCAGAACGCAATGCTCGATGTGGATACAAAGAGGAGGGGATGGAATGTTATATTGTTATTGCCTTCTTGCAACGTTGACGACGACTTGGCTTGAGTACTGTTTTAGGGTTAATTGGAATATTGGATACATGTCATCATCTACCTAAGGGCTTCTCATGTTAAAGTTTAGCTATCAAACTTTAGTCACTTTAGCTACTAAGATGATGTTCAAATTTAGGGAGTAAAGTTTAGGATGTTATATCAGGGGATCACATATGAGTGTTCGGACAGTAATAATAAAATAAATTATAGAAGTTCTTGTAACCCGTGAGACGAATTTATTAAACCTAATTAATAATCCGTTATTAGTACATATTTACTGTAGCACAACATTGTCAAATCATGGATAATTAGACTTAAAAAATTCGTCTCGTAAATTAGTCGTAATCTGTGTAATTAATTGTTTTTAGTCTATATTTAATACTCCATACATGTGTCTAAATATTCAATATGATAGAAAGTAAACCTTAGAGAAAGGAACTAAACAAGGCTTAAAATGTCAAACAAACTAACTAAAAAAGAACTAAAGTAGTTTAGTCACATTAATCAATTAAGAGTAGCTAAAAGTGGGCATTCATTAAGAGTATTTTAGTCTTTATTAAACTATTTTAATAACCTTTAATCACTAGAATTAAACAAACTAACTAAATTTTAGTCGTGAAAAACCAAAGACCCTAAATCTTACTATGCTCTGGACCGTCTGCAGTCCACCATATTCTCTTATGCCCAAAATAGTGTCACTGCTCTCGTATTTCTCCACGTCATTCACTCTGTTCGTTTGTTGGTTTTAGCCAGTCTTATTCAACCAGCCAATAATGTTTTTTCTAATAAAAAATCAGCACCAGCCAATCCAAACCAACACCAACACCAACCAACAACATGATGATTGACTTGTGAGCTCCACAAGTCATCCTTTCTCTTTCCTATTGATGGCAGCAGGTAATGCGTGGGTCAAGCATTTACCTGCCCATGATCATACCCGCAACCCTCACTTTTAGGTGGTGTTTGGTTGTCCCTCCTAAATTTTAGTCGCTCTCCCATCAAATGTTTGGACATATGTATTAAATATTAAATATAGAATAATTACGAAACTAATTACATAGTTTGCGACTAATTTGCGAGACGAATCTTTTAAGCCTAATTAGTCTATGATTTGACAATGTGCTAATGACGGATTAATTAGGCTTAAAAAATTCATCTCGTGGAGTACTGACAGATTATGTAATTTATTTTTTTATTAATATCCGAACACCCCATGCAACATCCTCTTGATACACCTCCTAAATTTTAGTCACCGGATCCAAACACCACCTTAACCTACGGCAAGCATGTTCATGGATAAGAATTCATACCCACGCTTGTATGCTTGGTACTCATCGGGTATCGGGTATTCGTCAGATATTTTTATGAGATCAAAAAATAAAATCACTGTGATATCAAACCTTTACCTAATATTAAAGAGATAAAATTTGTTTCTCTAATTTTTTTTTCTGAACCCCATATTTTCTGTAAAATTGCTGCGTTTTTTTTTTTTTTCTGGTTGCTCTGTGCCTTTTGTGTCCCGCGGTTTTCTGTTTGGACTCTGGCTCGGACTCTGCTTGGAGCTCGGCCTTTTAGTCCGTTTTTTTTCTTTTCCGTTGTTTTTTTAGTTCGGTGTTTTTTTTTTCTTGTCGTTGTTTATCTGTTCAGACTCCGCTCAGTTTTCTATCTCTTCTGTTTCACCGTCTTGAACTCAACTCTGGTATTTTATTTCTCGTATAAACAACAAATAACAAATACGGAGTACAATATTACGTTCTTTTGAACCATTGATCCTTCTTTTAAAAAATAAAGATTAGTTTTGATTAGAAACAAAACTCACTCTTATTAAAATATAGGGCAACCAGTTATTCAACTAATCAAATTGCGAATTGAAAACTTCAGCACTTTGTTGTTTAATCCAGTCTGAATAAATGTTGCAAAACCTTACTAGGATTGCGATGTGAAAAATTAAGAGATGTCTTCCAGTCATCATCATCATCATCATCGACGGGTAGACCAATTGAGAGATGTCTTCGGTCATCATCATCAGCAACTAACTCCTTGTTGACTTTAGCCACATATTGGAATTATATATATTTATGGGTCCTAGAAAAAGTCATGAAACTTGATATTTAACTGTGGTAACACATGAATAGTATGAAAATTAAATTTATGATATCTTTACATCTAAATATTTTTGTGCTTTGCAAGGGCTGCCATGTGAAAAATCTAGAGATGTCTCCTGTCATAATCATCGGTGGATAGATCAATTCTTAATAAGTTGGCAACTACCTCCTTGCTGAATTTAATCAGAGATTAGAATTACATATATTTAAGGGTCCTAAAAAAGTCATAAAACTCGATATTTTAGTTGAGACAACACATGGATAGTATGAAAATTAAAGTCATGATATATTTGCGTTTAAATACTTGTGTGCTTGGCAACGGGAGAAAAACATCTATTAAGGTTGTAATTTAATTCAATGCAAGTTTAATGGGATATTATTATATTATTACTGTTAGATAATCCAGGCTCACTTCAGCTCCCAGTTTCTCTCCGGCTGTTAGACAATAACTGAACTCGGTCTTAGCCAAGCCGAGTGTGTTATGTACAGCCTGATGCATGCTGCGTTCATGCAGAGGCTCTCCTTGTTTCTAGCTCTAGTGGTCATCAGCGCGCATTGCGTTCTCGTCTGTGGGATGGCACGGACCAGTCAAGGAGGTCGTGGCGTGCGCGTGGTAGAAGTAGTGGCGACCTGCATACTCCAGTCGTGGGATGGCGCGGCAATGGCGGAGCGTGGAGGTCGCAGCGTCGTGGCCGTTCGTGGCTACATTGTAGCATTGTAATTTGTCTACTTAAGTTGCAATACAGAGTCAGAAAAGCTACGCTAGTTGCGGCACCAAATTGCGAGTGTCTTCCACTGCTCTTGTGTGCGTTCTCTGAATTACAGTGCACTGTCTTCCTCTCCGGCGGAGGGCGACGGCGTGTGAGAGACTACAATTACCACCATCAACTTATATTATGGATGTCATGATCATTATAAAATAAATTTAGATTTGATATTTTATAAAATGGATAAAAGATAAATAGATATGTACCATTCCCTTGTCGTTTATCATGAAATTTGATAGTTTTTTGTTGCAACACATGGACATGTTTTGCAAGTATAATATTAACAAGCAAAGGGATTCTTTTGTCCCATTTTTTACTTTTCATATGAATTTATGTACAAGAAAGAGTAACCAAACAAGGTGCCCACATCGGGCACCCGAAGGTTAACCCACCCACGCGACGTGGCAGAGTACACAATAACCATGGGTCATCGTTGCCGAGCATGGTTGCATAGCAACCAGTAGCTCCGACTCCCCATGGTTGACCCCAGACGACTAACAATGCCAGACAAACGGGCCCGAAGCAACAGGCCGTGACAGGTCATCATTACCAAGCTCAAGCACGAAGAGCAGCTCTGACTTCTTGTCAAGAACCCATGTCCCGCCCCGGTGTTTGCTAGACCTCCCAAGTGAAAATCCAGTCACCGAAGAAGGGGGTTCTCCCCATGTCATCATTGCCGAGCCACATCTCCTGACACAACAGCTCCGATTTGACATAGCAAGTCCCACCTCCTCACGTCGACCGAATGCCAGGAAGCGAAGATTGTCCACCGATCGTGACATCATGGCCCAGACGAATTCCAATAGCGACCTTCAGGAAGGGAACGACGTCAATCTTGCCATCGTCGCTCGTCCAAGATATGGACTGGATTTACACACATGGAAGACATGATGGGGGAATATGACGCTCTCAACAGGGAAAGCGGTGCCCATGGGCATCACCATCATCGAGGCTTTCGCCCAAGGTGCCCCCAACACAATCGTTGGCCCAAGATACCGGACTCCTAGCTCACTGCCACTGCCGTCGTCGCTACCATGACATCTAGCAAAACCCCTCTAGAGGGGCATCGATGCATCAGCTGCGCACAGCTGCATCGGCCGCCACCCCTTCCAATTGGGCCACGCATAGAACCGAGCTTACCCTGCCGCGCATGCAACACTATCGCACGCCGAGGCCGCCGCTGGCTGCCATCACCGGCTCCAGCACCCACTACAGACGCTACCGGCCTTCGATGTCCATCGCCAAGAGCGAGTGCCCTACCACCATGGGCGCCTCTCCTAGCCCAGAGAGCATCGGATCCGGTCGCTAGGGCCAATGATCCACTGCCCTAAACCGGCGTCGTGGTCGCCACTACGATCGTCATTCCCCACACTAGGGGCGTCGTCGATGCTGCCACACCATGGAGGAAGGGGAGAATGGGGGAGAAAAGATCGTTGTTGCCTCCACCTTGCACCGGATGGGCTTCGGCTGGCATCGCCGCAGCCACAACTAGCACCCCTGCTAAGCCCCATGCGACAAGCGCAAGGCCACAACCCGGTTTGCCGCCCCCTATGCCATTACATGTTACCAAATGCTAGAGGCAGCCCCGCTGCCACCATCTTGCCTAGCCGCGCGGCCCTACCGGTGGCCTACTCCGGTGGTGGCATGATGGGGGAGGGGGGAAGGGCGGGCAACAACTAGGGTTTGGTTGGCTGCCGCCCGAGTCGCCAGTGTGGGAGTGACTCGGGGGCACTACTCCCATGACTCGCCAAGTCACAGTTTCTTACTTTTCATACTAGTCTCACACCCTTCTTATCTCATATGTGACCTACACACATGACGCATGCTCATACGAGTAAGAACAGCTCGTGTTTGACAAAAATATAGAGTCTAATTTCAAGATGTATTGAGTTCGATTGCAACACATGAGCACGTTTGCTAGTAATAAATTAATAGTTAAACAACACATAAATCCATCAATCTCACTTACATAGAATTCACTAGGAAAATATACATTAGCTCACAGGTGACAATACATTATAAATTCAT